TACAGTATCTTTACTGGCTTCTCAGGTTCTTAATATCAGAAAAGATTAGCACTATGTTATTTTCCCTTCATTTAAACAAATACATATTCTCACGTCTCCCAACTTTATATCTCTCCTCCAAAATTTAAATCATATTCACGAGCTAACCATTAAACTTGAATGTTTAAGAGCACTCCCTTTTTTTTTATTTTTTTTTATTTATTTGAGAGAGAGAGAGAGAGAGAGAGAGAGAGAGAGAGAGTGTGGTGTGTGTGTGCGGCCGGCTCAGCCCACCAGGGGACGGGGCTGGCTGGCATGTGGTGCTGGGGGATCGAACCGCGGTCCCTGATGCCTTTGCTAAGCTTGTTCCAAGTAGGTGCTTTAGACCACTGAGGCATCTCTCCAGCCCCACTCCCTTTTTAAAAAATTCAAAATTATAATCTTTAGAGAGGCTGAATAAATGTTTGGAACTAATGGGTGAATAAATGAGTAGTTTAGACAGAGAGAGAAACAGAGAGAGAGATTTAAATCATAAAGATTTAAATAAAGATGAATATATACTTTAGTAAGAAGGTAAATCACAAAGAAGTTCTGGCCAAACAGCTCAGCAGATTAAAGTGCCTGCTTAGGCAATGCAGGGACCAGGATTCGATCCCTGGCACCACAAGCCATGATGGCCCTGCCTCCGAGGTACACTGAGATGGCAATTGAGACTGGTGTGGTGGCATGCGCCTGTAATCCCACCACCTGGGAGGCTGGAAACAGGAGAATCACTACGAGTCTGATAGAGTAGTGAAACCCTGAACACCCTATAGACCCTTCCCTAAAATACAGAGGAAAAAAAAATGGCACAAAGAAAAACTCAATATTGAAATAGATTTTTTTTCTGTATTTTAGAGAAAGTTATACAGGGTATTCACAATCCCACTACTAGACTGAACTTGTGATTCTCCTGTTTTCAGTCTCCCTAGGGATGAGATACAGGCGCGTGCCACTATGCCCAGTCTCAATCACAGTCTCAGCGCAACCTGGGGAGCGGGACTGGCACAGCAGGCCTGGGGTTCAAACCCTGGCCCCTGCTCTGGCTTGCAGGCTCTTTAATCTGCTGAGCTATTTGGCTGGCCCTAAATAGATTTTTAATAGTTGAAACAAGATAATAAAATTGTCTTTATTTCCATTTGTCAAAACTTGATCATGTGATGCTCATCAAGTTAATTTATCCTTATTTTTACTTAACATTTTCTAAAATATTAAGTATCAAATATTGTGACCATTTGATAATTTTATTAAAATTATTGATGCATATTAGTTATAAAAATTAAAGGGTTTGACTGTGACATCTTCATATTCTCAAATGTCTGGCTTTGAGCTTTCCACACTCTTCTACCTCCCATGGCTCTTTTACTCCCCTTGGTTGCCTCCTTTTAACTTTTACATTATGAATTTTAACCTCCACATGTTTGAGGCCCATATGATAAAAAGAGCCTACCTTCTTCAATGTGATTTGAACATTAGCATTTGTTTATAAGGGCTAGTCAAAAGTAAGAACTGTTTTCAGTCAGTCAAAAAAGAATAAAATTATTTCCCACCATGACATAAGCAAAGAATAAGATTAAAAATACAAAAAAGAAACAACATTAACTTATGAATGTGAGAAAATGAAAGTTAAACAGAAAAAATGCAGCATTATATTTCTTAATATACTTCACAAATATTTTTCAAATAAATCCAGTCATAACAAAGTGGGAGAGAACAGAGATTCTCAGCTGCTGGTAGAATAAAATTCTGTTTGTAAATAATAATGCTTACTTTATGCCTTAAGCTATCAACACATTTGACTTGTAAGTACCACCACTAGAAAAATATCTAAAAGAAGTTGCATGGATCCATAAAATTGTTGTAAACATTAACATGATTGGAAACAGTCTTTATAACAGAAAAAATTAAAGACAAATGTCTTAACATAGTGAATCAGTTAAATAACTGTTGTAAAAAGAAATGTGATAGTGCAATTTAAAGTGACATAAAAAAACTAATGGAAACTGTTCATACACTTTTTAAAAAGTGGAGATAATAGATGAATAGAATGTCCATATCCAATATATACCATCTTTTATAATTGCCTAGGAGAACAACAGACGGGATGCTAACATGACAAATAATATAAAAATTCTCTCATACTGAATTATATATCATAATTATTATGACTACATAAATTTTCCTCTACCCACTTCAAACATTTTCAAACATGTATTTTATTGTGAAAACACAATTTTATGTAATGTATAAATCACATTAGAGTAAAAAGATAATTAAATCGTAAGTCAATATGTGACACAACCTTTCAATAAGCACATATTGAATTTTGTTTGAGATTCACTACTATATTTTTATGTTTAACCTCAAACACCAGAATTCTCTGATTACCTGTAGTACATTGTAGAGACTTAATACTCAGGAAATTTGAATTGATATTCCTGTTGAAATGCTTCCTATCACAGCAATCACCTTGTATCTCTTAGCCCTACAGTTATAATTAGGACTCCCTCCTGAAATCAAAGACAAAACACTCTCCCTGGCCTTCATTTCTGTGTAGTCAACACTGAAGAGGTTGAATCCCAGGGACACATTGACTAACAAATTCAAGTTCTTCTTGATCTCTTCTATAACAAAACTCATGGCCAACAGATGCTGATAATGCTTAGTAAATTCTCTAAAATACAATGATGAAAAGACGGTTCACTAAGATTTTACATCTAAAACACAGTAGTCACACAAAAGATGAAAACAATAATCTAAGAAATGAAGCGAGTATATTATGTTGAAAATACTAAGAACCTGGTGGTTACAAAGACAGAATTGCAATCAGCTTTATAATCAAATTTCTGGTTTTGGAATTTTGATGTTAAGTGCAGCTTGTGTCTGAGAAACTAAGGTCATAGAATGAAGTAAATGGAAAATGGCAAAAATAAAAAGTTAGAATTTTATATATTCTTGCCATTGGTATCAGGTTATGTTTCAGGCAAAACAATATTTTGTTAGAATACCCAAGGAAATACACAAAAGAGATGCCAAAAAAAAAAAAAAAAAACACCACACATTACAGTGATGGAATGATTTCATTACAGTAAATGGAACAATTTCCATACAATATCCTGTGTTTTTTAAAAATGAAAAATATTCCTCTACTCTAGAGTACTTTGCAAATCTACAAATTACTTAGAAAATTAAGGGTACACAGCTGAGTTGTGTCCCAAACTTTGTGATGAAGGAGATTATAGGGCCACAGAGCAATGTGATCAATAATGTAGAGTGTGCCTAAGGAAGTCACCTAGATAGAAAACATTCTCTCAGGCTTTCACAGAGAGCAAATTGGTCAAGCAATGGCCGTGACTCATCCACAGGGCTGACACTGACAAAGGATCTGCAATCTGAGGTACAATGTCTCAGGTTAAATCCTGAGGGGATTTGACTGACCTTATCAGATACAAAAGTTACATTGCTTGATATATAGGTCTTGCTTTATCTTTATCTTAACCATCAAGCAGAAAAGTATGAAAATTATAAAAAGTAAAGCCCCATTAATATACTGAGCTGTAAAAAGCTCAAGTTGACAACTTTGGACATTGCCCATCTTATGGAAAACTCACTATTATTATGGACTACTGGACTATATTGGGAGATTTTGCTGAATTCAAGCACCTACAGGATTTAAATGACAATGGAATGTCCATCTCTGACAAAACTAACCAAAAAAGTGGGATAGAAATGAATGACCCTTTTGTATCTGTATACACAAAATAAGGTAGATATACAGCTCCATTCTCTTAATTCAATGAATAGAGAGGTTCCTTATAATAGTGTTTGAGACAGGATATCATGTCTGCATCTTGTACAAGGAATAATCACTAAGACAACAATATGCAATGTATTAATTATTGAAAATGTGCCAATAATCGGTTGTGAAACTCTGTCATTGATATTTGTTTCTCAATAAAATTATTTTTTAAAAATTAAGGGTAATTACACACTTAAACATTAACATAATCTGGTATATAGGAAAGTCACACATGTACATAAGGTGATGCGGAATATGTAGAGTGAACTCCAAATCTGGCTGAGATGGCCATTGAGACTGGGCGTGGTGGTACATGCCTGTAATCCCAGTGCTTGCGAGGCTGAAAACTAGAGAATCACTATGAGTCCAATCCACCCAGTAAGTTCCTGTAAACCCTGTACCAAATACATTAAAAAGAAAGAAATCCAAATCTTCTTATGTCTCCATGAGTCATTCTTAGGGAAGAGTCCACTGATAATAAAACTCCCATCTTGATAGTAGCCAGGAGAACGAGGTGCATTTAATGAAAGAGTAGAACTATGTTCCTGAGATACAAGGAGGAGAACAGTAAACACAGGAACGATGTTCGATAATTTCATATTAAGTGATAAGGACTAGTATAATTGAGAATTATATTCTATGGAAAATGTTGTTATAAACTAAAGTTTCCCTACAGAAGATGCACAGACTGTGTTCAAACATGAGCCTGTCCAGGGAATGTGGGGTGTTTGGTCTGGTGTGAATAATGTGTAAATTTTACTTTGTTTTCTAGAAATAGTTTGCTGTACACCTGCTTAGCTTTCAATTTGCTTTCCATACATAGAGTTAGTATAAGTCTCTAAGGAGTCACAAAGTCCTGTGATTGCATCTGGTGTCCTGATTCTAGTAAGAAAAACATTTAATTTTTAAAAAACTAGCTAAGGTCGCATGTGCCTGTATTCCCCGTTCTTAGGATCAACAGGTGGATCACTACAAGTCCGATCTAGTAGTGAGATTCTGAACATTCTGTAGGCCCTAAAGTACAATAAATAAATAAATAAATAAATAAATAAATAAATAAAATTACTCGCTAGATAGTAGAAAATTTCCAGGGACTTTGTATTTTCAGTGGATTCTGAGTTACTCATTCCAAGACAGTGCTATAGTTTGCAATATTGGCTGCAATTCAGTGGGATCAAGAGGCTTCCTCTGAGAGGTCTTTATTATTATCAAGCACTTAATGATGTAGGATGTGACAGATGCTAGGAAGGAGAGTATCAAAGCAAAACATTTTTCACCTTATCTTTAATCATGTCACGCTTGTACATTCTCAGACAAAAGAGGAACTACACAGCGTTCATATATGCAATAACAAGTCAAAGCATTTCCACTAGGTAAAATCATTGCTGACCACTTCACAGAGCCACTTATTTAAATAGTGGATTTCTTACTTTTTAAATTGCATATATTTATGTAAAAATGTGTACACACAAAATACACTTGGCTAAGATATTTTAACTACTAGAAAGAAATCAAAGATAAAGAAAAAAAATCTGAAAGTATATAATTATAAATCAATAATTATTAATTGATGTTAACTAATTGGTTATCAGTAAAACATTGACTGTGATACTTATAATTACCTACTGATTTATATCATTCATTCGCTAGATCCACTGTCATTACTAGTCAAGTGATATTTGTTAATAAAATATGAATTAGTTATCCTTCCAACCCCATAACAAAATTCTTCATATAGGCCACATATGTATTAAAGAAATGTTTATTTTTGCCTATGATCTGGAGCCTCAAGTCCAACTTCAGCTAACCTTTTGATTTGAGTCCCCAAGGAGGACAACACCCCATAGTAGACAACAGGAAGCAGAGAGAGACTGGGAAACTGACTCAGCAAGGACATAGAAACCTGCCCTTGGCCTCCCCTCTAACAAGCAGATGTCGCCTCCCAGTTGTTCCATCCTGGGTAGAAATCTTTAATGTATAAGCTTTTGGAAGACTCCTATACCAATCATAGCAACTTACTTAGATGGTTTTTAAATATTCTAATATGTCTATAACACAATAAAATTAAGGCTGCAGAAGAACTTTCCCAATCTATTGCAATAATAAAAAGTCCCTTTAGGACCAAAATAGTTTCTAACCCACGGGAAGCTTGAGTCATCAAAAGTGAGTATTAAGGATTCATGTGACGCATGCTTCTCCGTTTCTACCTTTGTGAGCTTAATACAGCTGAGGCCAGAGTGATCTTATTCTTATATACTTTTAAGGAGTGAGATGACATATATGTAACAATCTTAAGAAGCACCACTCCCCAATTTTTTCTTCCGAGAATTAAATCCATTTTTCCTGAAGTAGACAGCCACACAGAACCGAGCTCTCCAAGCAGATTAGAACAGTAGTGTTAAAGGCCCTACAAGGTCTCTGAAGATGCAGAAGCTGTGCGAGGTTGTGTGGAGCTGGAACAGCTGAGAACAACGTGAGACATCAGCTTGCAGTTAACACTTTGAAAAAAGAGAGAAAAAAATCCTCAACAAGGGAATATCCAAGAGATCCAAGTGGAGGAGGAGGGTAGTAGATGAAAGACAAAATTCTAATTTCTGTGTCATAAATGCACACACCCTTGTATACAGCTGTGTGCTACATGTACTGAGGATTTGCAGTATGAGCCTCCATTTAGGTTAACAAGTGTGTGGGTAGAGATAAAAGCAGAATTGGGAAATTAGAGGAAGATCTGGGTTAACAAGGAGAAATCAGAGGTGAGTTAGATCTTAAAGAAAGTGAGACATTTTGTCAAACAAAATAAAACATTGTTTTCAGTCTCTTGTACTTCCCCGTGGTAACATCTTGTGTTGACACTTACGATTTCATCATTTCCTCAAGTTTTTCTGTCTGGACTGAAGTGGATTGGCATGTTGCTGTGGTCTACTCTACTGCCCCTCTTATGCAAGAAAGGAAATCCTGAGTTCAGTGCACAGCCACAGGATAAGTTCATATTTTAGGCCTTTTACAGTTAGACTTTCTAAAACAGATAATGTGTTTATCTGTCAAGATTGGCTTTGTCTAAAATTATACCAATCAAACACCTCCAGGCCCAGAAACTGAGACTAGAGATCTGGGAGAGGAAGACAGAGAAAGAAAAAGAAAAGAAAAATGAATTCTTCCAAACCTTCTGCATCACTATGTGCAGGTAAGATTTGCAACTCCTTCCTTCATTCCATTGATCTCTTATTGGTATAAATGATAGATACTGGTGCAGATAAGAGACTGGAGAGTAAAAAATATTCATCAAAGTGAAAAAAGAGGAGACAGACATGGAATGGGTAGGAAGAGAAAGAAAGAGAGATTAGAGACTAAGTCATAGAGAAAAGCTTGCTGACCCAAGTACAGGGAAGGTATCAGATGAGAATTCTGACTTTCTGTGTCAAGAGAGATTGAAAAACGAGTCACTGACATGAGAAGGAGTGATGACAGAAGTAGAGTACTGTGGGAAGGCGTAAAAGAGGGAAAAACTACATGGGAAAAGGTCTAAACATTTTTGAAGTAATCTTTAAAATGTCTTTTTATATATAATTTTATTTTGAAGAGTAAAAACAAAAGCAAGAAAAACAAAAGCAAAGACAGAAACAGAGTAACATATAACAATAAATACATTACAGATTTTCAAAACAAGAATATCTGACCTACAGTGACTGATACATTATCTATTTTTATCATCAAATCTGTTGCTCAGATTAACAGATATAGTTATGCAAGATGGGACATAAGATTGAAAATTACTACATGCTTTCAAGAAATCTTAAATTTTTATTCTTGTCTCTCATTTTTATCTTTTTTTAAAGATTTACTTTAAAGAGAGTATAGTAATAATTGATGTGACATTAGAAATGGTACGCATTTGGAAGACCAAGATGACAGGTATTTCAAGCATGGTTTTAGTATTACACGTTGCTGTCCTCAATGTAGTTGCTTAATTCATAGATATCAACATGTAGAGTTAGTCAGGATGAAAATTCTACCCACTAACTGTTATTTTCAAAAACCTGATGGAAATTCTTAGGATTGTTGCCTTATCTATCTTGTATATAGATATATTCAACTTGAGGGTATACTCTTAAGTGGGATTAAACCGACCCACATGGATTAAATGTCATATTGTCTCCCTAGTGTAAGAACTCAAAAAAAAAAAGAAACAAAAACTGAAAGATATAACAGACACAGTTAAATGCAAAGAAACAGAATTTAAGGATTTAACAAAGACAGAGAAAGGAGAAAAGTTAGGAAATAAGGTAGGGGCAAAACCATGCATGTATATACAGAAGATGGATAAAATGTCTTTTCAAAAAGAGACCTGGGACGAATCACACCTGAATTCACCAGTCAGTCCTCCTAGCAGGGACGGTTAACTCAGTGGTTCTTGAAACACGGCCCTCACTCCTCCAGCCTCAGCATCCTCAGAGCACTCTTATCTGCACAAGTCCTAATGAACTGTTGACTCAGGAGCCAAGCCCAGAAATCTGTGTTTTAAGGAGCTCTCCAAGAGGTTCTCATCCATGGTAAAGTTCAGGAATTACTCAATGCAATATGAGTGGGAAAAAATAAATGAGTAAATAAGACTCTGTTACCATTTCTTGTGTCTTGCTTCAGGAAAGCTGACTGGGTTTGTGCCTTTTTTCTACAGAGAAAAGCTGCTTCTCTCACCAGGGCTGCTTTTGGACTGTGGCTGGCATCTCCATCCTGCTTCTCACTGCCTGTTTTATCACCCGTTGTGTTGGTGGGTTCTGGAAATCTAACTTAATGAAATCCTCTGTGCTGCCTGCAATTTCTCTTATCCTACAAAATGATCTTTAGTAGCACATTTTGCCTGTTAACTCCAAGATGTTCCTCAAGCAAATGGCCCTCACTGGTACAGCATTCTTACCAATTTTCAGTGCTCTCTGACATATTTTTTCATGATGTATATTGCGCACGTTGGTGGTCTTAAGTTCTTTCTTTTGTACCACTAACATCAATAAAGTCTTCCCTAAGATGCAAGCTTGAAACTTGGACTTACTAGTCAAGATCACAAATAAATTTTAAGGAAGGAAGAATAGACAAAGTTTAGTTTGTCTTAAAAGTGAAAACATGTTAGCTTTCCCTTGGGTGTGTGGGTCTAAATTAAGATTAACCTCTCATTGTAAATCAAGAAAAACATGAAAATTGGCTTCTCTGTTATTTCTTTGAGCTAATGCACCCCAGTGCTTTTGCATATGGAAGAGTAAAGAGTTAAAAATAATTAAAATTATTGGTAATTACATTGTGAATTTAAAACTGAAAAATTGATTTTTTCCAAAATACATTGTGCCTTTTATCTTACAGTAACATATCGGAGCTTTCGAATTTGTGATGAGAAAAAGTTACAGCCACATAAAGATTATCAAGTGATTTCCTGCATCAATTATGGATCAGGTATAATTACCCCAAACTTGAACATCAAAATTTATACATCAACATTCTCTGTATTCTGAACTAACTCTGTAGTAAGTAAAATTATGCCCTATGTTTTTCAAAACCAAAATGTACTATACCACCTGTGGTATGCAAGGAATTAGTAAGAGGATAGCTACAAAATTATGGACATGCAATTAGTATTGGAGTAGGAAATTTCACGGACATAAGAATTTGTTTAGAATAAATTTGAATAGGATGCTCTTAACTATTATCTTCTTTCCTGCCTTAGTACAAAACTAAATGACATTAGGAGAGCGACTTTATTCTTTGAGCTATAACTTCTTTATTAAATGAAGAAGTGAACTTTTATTTTTAATAAATTTCAAAAAATGAAGTTCTATAATTCTAAGAAATTTAACCATTTTTACCATTTAACCAGTAGTTTAGAGGTGGCTTAGGAGTCACCCATGAAAATGCATAGCTTATAATTTGCGTTCTTGGTAGACTAAGAATAAATGATAGAGTCATATATAAATTACAAATATGATATAGATTGCATATAATATTGGATTTATTGGCACAGGTATCTAAAAAGTAAACGTTGCATTCAAAAGCCAAGAAAATTGCTATTTATGTTTATTGAAGCTTCTAATTATAAATGAATTGTTAGTGTATGATTCTGCAGGATGGGAAGAAATTTTAAGTTTTATTATTCAGTTCAACAGGAGTACTCACTGAAGCCTCTCTCCCAGGGTCCCTTAAGAACTGTTGTCCACTGAACTGGAAACATTTTCAGTCTAGCTGCTACTTCTTTTCTACCGATGTCATGACCTGGACAGAAAGTTTAAAAAACTGCTCAGGCATGGGGGCTCATCTTGTGGTTATCAACACAGAGAAGGAACAGGTAATTTAAGTACAGTCCCTGATGCTCATGTGACATTTTTCGCAGAGTCCATCTTTTCTGCATACATGTTTGCCTCTTAGTGACTATTCAGTGACTATATTGACAAGTAGGTTATTCTCATCTCCTCTGTGAGTCAAAATCTACTTTAAGTGATTTTCAATACTAGGAGATGTTGACAAAAAGTTGGTTTCTACATGAAATTTGATTAGTCGGGCAGCAGAAGACACAAGATTGGGAGTTGATTGTTTGGGCACATCATCTCAACTAGAGCAAGCAATTATTGTCCATTATCTCTAATTTATGATTGGTGATGCTTTGTAGAGGATGTATGTGACATTTGACTACCAACAGCAGCACAGGAACATTGAGTAATTATTGAAAATCTATTTTGAAGTTATTTCTCAGTTATTTTTCCTATGTATATTTACCACAATAGAAAGTTTAATAGGCAATCTCTGAAAATCTTACAATTTCAAAGTTCATTGATCTATTACCTCCTGATTACATCCTATTTTATTTCAACAGTTTCAACATCCCTTCAGAACTGAAATAGTTGTTTTCTCTCTTTTGATTATGTTTCGTCCACAGGAATTCCTTTTCTATGTAAAACCTAAAAACAATGAGTATTTTATTGGATTAACAGACCAGGTGGTTGAAGGTCAGTGGCAGTGGGTGGATGACACACCTTTCTCTCTGAGGTAAGAACCTTTTGGTAGGCAATTTTTCACACTACTTTCAGTCCTAATATTAGCTCATTGTTTAGGGAGATTTCTTTTGTTACATAAGGTGCATTCAGATCCATCTTTTATGCTGCTAGCCATAGGAAGAGGCTGAGCTAGGAGAGAAAACAGCAGTGCAGTCTTCCTTTCCCTGGGAATGACTGAAGACTCAAAAGGAAATAATAGATAAAAACAATATTCAAGTGCAAGCATCAATGAGTGAAAATGTAGAAGAGGAAAAAAAAAAGTAAAACTGAATCTTTTCTGAAAACTGTTGTAAACTTGAAAATAAACCACTTAATTTGGATAGGAAGTGGATACTTACAATGTGACAGTGAGAGCTATTTCATCATAAGATCCTTTTCATAGGCTTTTACACTCTTAAAAGCACAGGACTTTAGAATTTTCAAAGTTTTTTTCATTTCATTTTATGACGATTGCCACTTCCTACAATATGCCAATGTTATTAGTGTTTACTTCAATTTGAACAACCTAAAGGGCAGATGTATTAGATGACTTCTCTAACTTCTCTAAGAGTACAGCCTCCCTAAATTAATGAATACTCTGCGGAATAGGGAATTCCGATTTACGTGAGGAGTAGCGCAAAGGAAGCAAAACCATTAGATGTCAATCCTCCCTATGCCTTCTCACCATGGGTCTAAAACAAAGAGAGGTAGAAGCCACTGGGCCCCGTTCCCCACAATCTCTAAGACTTGCCCAAGGGCTCCAGCTTACCCGTGATTCCTTTGTTTCACTGACAAATGAAGATGGTAAGAACTACCTGGTAGGGTTATTGTGACATAAAACAATACAAATATGACTTGCCCAATATGTTAGGTTTCTTTATTTTTCCTTCCTGGGAATTAAACTCCCCCTTCTCTCTTTCCTAGCTTCTGGGATGTAGGGGAGCCCAACAACATCGTCAGCGTAGAGGACTGTGTCACCATAAGGGACTCTTCAAACCCACGGAAAAACTGGAATGATGTAACTTGCTTCTTCACTAAGTTTCGGATCTGTGAAATGCCAGAAATAAATCCTTTGCCCTAAGAAAATGATTTAAGGACAGGAGGCGCAGCACAATGAAGAGAACCAAGCATGACCACAGCCAGAAACCCTGTGAGAGACTATGCTCACCGTACACCACGTGGACGCCTTAAGAATTCGGTATTGTGATAAAAATAAAATAAGTAGCTCTTAGTGTTATAATTCATGATATATACTGAAGTGTATGTTTCTCTAAGTTAGTCCAAGTTTCTTTTGGGGGAATTTACAAAGAAATTCACTAATAAATGCTGGGAGAGGAAAGGAATGCTCCTTTTGATATGTTTGTGAGTATTTTTGTGAAAGTACAAAAACATACAGTGAGTACAGAGCGTAGCAAAGAATATTTTTTTAAATGCCTTTGAAAAATCAACTGAAAGTATCCTTCTCTAAGTCTGACAAATCTGTCTTCTTTTATAGTTTTTATATCTTCTGGGCAGGCAAATATAGTTTCTCTCTCTCTGTACTAGTGAGAATCTTCCTCAAGTTGTGATAATTATGCCTTCTCTAACAGCTCTAAGAGTGCAGCCTCTTAGAGGAAGCCTGGGGTGGGCTTTCTGGTCACAAGCAATAGACCCTCTACAAAGACCTGCTGTTGCAAACATTGCAATATCCCATGCCTGGGCTGTTTCTCGCTGCCCTTTCCTACATTGGGATTTCACCCCACCATGGACTGCCGACTCAGATAACACTGGAGCTTAACAGTGAAATTATTCAGAAAGAAGAAAAAAACACATATGTACTCTTTCCTATCCACTTGCTTCATGATATCAATACAAATAAGGCTACCAGCATGACCACACCCACAAGCCCTGTGAGAGAATATGCAAATAAGGCTCCAGCTTTTATAACAATGTTTCTCCTGTGTAGCCATAAAGAAACCCACTCAGCATTCACACATTGGAGGGAATGTGTAATATTTGAATGGAAAAATGAAACAGACTATAAGGTCTTTCTGTGAAAGGAAGAAGTCACAATGGGAGCACTGACTACTTCAGTACAAAGAAGTTCTGCCCATTTGTCCCACACAGGGCTTGAGAACACACAGTGAATTGTATGTTGTTTGTCAAGAGCAGGACTTACTGCCTGGTGAGGATACATCTGCAGCAGGTGTCAAGCATGGTAGGGGGAAGGGGTGCAAACTGGTCTCCGCTCAAAGCAGCATAACAGTGGTCAAATTCCTTCACTTTATTTATTAGATTTTATTTATTTATTTTTTATTTATTTATTTATTTATATTTTGCTAGAACCGGGGATTGAACTCAGGCCCTTGCACTTGCCATTCAAGCACTTATTCTACTGAACCATCTCCCCAGCCCTATATATTAGATTTGTTTGGTTGTTTTTACAAACATTGGTTTCATGTGGCATTGTAACAAATCTAGTCTTGAAATCAACTTGCCTTTAAGCCAAAAATTCTTCAACCTAAAGTGAATCTAAGAAAAATATCTTCAACTTCTCAATCCCCTTTCCTTTTCTGTAGAACTGGGAATTAGACCAAAAGGCATGCTAAGAATGAGTTTTATCATTGAAATACAACCCAGTTCCTTTTTTTCCTGTTTATATTGACACAGTATCTCCCTAAATCATCCAGTGTGGCTTTAAACTGTGGTCTGTCTGCCTCTGCCTCCTGGGTTGCTGAAATTACAGGCTGTAGCCTCCATCTGTGCTTTTAATTCCATTTTAAAAACCACAATATCAATGAGGAACTATTAAAAAGCAGATGAAGCTTTTTCTCTTCATAGGTGTTTGCTACAGGTGCTTTACTGTAGCTCAGTTATTTTCTGGTTTAACTGCCTGTAATAGAAACATATAGGAAATATTATATTACTTTCTCATATATTTATAATTTAAATTATAAAATTAATATTTGTCTTCATAATTCTCCAAACAAAGAAATAATTGCTACATTTTTAGTAGTTGAAGTTTATTAGAACAGAAATACTCTTGGTGTGGGTGGGAAGAGGATCACCAGTGGAAATTACTTTGAGTTTCCACCAAAACTTAATCACTTTATATCCTAGAAAATACAGAAAGTCCCCAAAATGTGATTAAATCTTCACATTTCCAATAACCTACTTCCCCAATAAAAAAGCAATAAAATTTAAATTCTATGATTGGTGTCTGGTCTTAGTCATTTCCTCATCTTTGGGACAGTGTTAGGTATAACACAATGCCTAATATAACTTAAAAGGAGCAAGGGTCGGTTTCAGTTCACAGGGCCTAGAGGTGAGCGAGTGTGTATGCGTACATGCGTGCTTGTGTAGCGTGTGTGTGTGTGTGTGTGTGTGTGCGTGTGTGTGTGTGCCTGACCGCTAATCCCTTCTATGTCTTCCCCAGTGACTAGCCTCTTCTGCCAGACACCTAGCAAGTCAGCTATAACTCCCCAAATCCAATTACTTCCAAAGTCTCAGCTCTAAGTGCCTGTCACTTTAGAGACATACCTAAATAAGAATGCTAATGAGGGGCTGGGGAGTTAAAGCCTGCCTGGCAAGTTCAACCACTGGGGTGGGTGCCAGCCCCAGAATCTTAGCAACACAAAAGGGAATGAACTTATTCAAAACGAAAGAGTTACTGAGTTGAGAAGGACAGGAAAGGGAGTAGGGGAAAGAGATTTATCTATGTATGTAAGCAGGATGCTTTGGACAACTGAATTGTGAATTTCTGCTGGTCTATGGAAAGGAACAAATAATGCTTAATTTGTTTTGTCACCTTTTTTCAATTGTTTGTACTTTTTCTCTTCTTAATTTCTTAACATTTCTTTCTTTTTTTCTTCTTCTTCTTCCAATTTACTGTGGACATAACCGGTAATATGAAAAAATGGTTTGAAAATAACACTATGCATAACACTGAATACTGTGAAATTCACATTACTTAATTAAGTGAAATTTTGTATCGCTTGTAACTTTTCTGTCTTAATACTATTTTGGCCAGGGAAACAGCTCACAGCTTAAGTGCCCACCTGACAAAGTCCTGAGTTTTATCCCTGGTATTGAAAAAGAAAATCAAAAACAACAACAAAAAAAATAAAGCCTATTTTGTACTCTTTTAAACATTAAACATTAAAAACAAGAAAAAGAAGCACTAATGGGTTCTTAATTTTTAAAAAATCACTGTATTTCATAAAAATTACACATGCACCTGTTCATTATCAAAAGTTCTTGCAAAGTACACCTATATAAAGATATAAATAAGGAAAAAGGATAAACTTGGATTATAAAAATAATTACCATAATCACTAGTTGACCATAATTCTAGTAAAGTGTTATGGTTTTGATGGGTTGCTGCAATTTGGAAACAGAAAATGGAAAAAACAGGGAGGTCTTTCTCTGCTTTTCCTTGCATTTCTTCCTTACAGTAGGCAACAGGAGGACCCGGGTCTGGCGTTCTCCCTTCTCCTCTGCACACTGTCATGTACCAGGGCTTCTGCTGCATCCCAAGAGGGAAACCAGAAGAATCTGGACCAATTGGTTCTGCTAAATCCACTCCCCAACCTCACTTCATTATTCATAGGTTGCACTCTTTGCTAATCTCATTCTTCCCAGACCTTTTTACCTCTTTATCAGATGGCATAGAAACTGTGGGATTCTAGGTCTGATCCCCAGCTCTTCAAAAATAAATAAATAAATAAATAAATAAATAAATAAATAAATAAATATCATACTAAGCATTAATTTGAAACATTTAGTTTATTTTTACATAAAAGTAAGATGTGAAAAATTGAAATGAAATTAACAGGGTCTTTAACTTTAATTTTATATGCTTTAATGATTATCTATTGAAGCTATTTCCTAAAAGATTCCTTAAGAAAAGATTCCTTAAGAAAAGAAAAAATATAGAATTGTTTGTCTTCAATTTCCTCTTCTTTCTGTTTTCTCATATTCTTTCTTGCATTTTCTTTTATGTGTTTCTTTCTTTTCTTTTTTCTGTTTGTTTTTCTTTTTTGGGGGGAATGGTCTACATGGTGTTCAGGGTCTCATTACTAGATTAGATTCATATGCTCAACCCAAGCCCAGGCCCCAGGCCAGCAAGTGTGTGGGAGAGCTTCTGTGCTCCCCTCTACCTGCAGATCACCCCAGACCCAGCCCAAGCCTGGCATGTGAGTGAGACATTCAGCCTTGCTCTTGGGACCCCTCCAAACCCCTCCAGAACAAACCCAGACCCAGCATGTGAATGAGAACTTCCACCATGCTCTTGGGACCCCTCCAGGCTCAGCCCGAATCCAGGCCCATCCTGTGTATGAGAGAGCTTCCGTGCTCCCCTTTGCCTGCTGGATCCCTCCGGAACCAGCCCAGGCCTGGCACATAGACCTATGTGAAACTCTGCAGCTGAAGTCCCTGCAGAGATGCTAAGGGCCAGAACCACCCAGCTAATCTAGGAGCAGAACCTCTTGCCAGAGGGGCCCAGCAGGTTCACTTTCATGGGCTGCAGCAGGAAGAAGCTGAGCACATCAACCAGACCCAAGCCAGGCATAATTGGATGAACTCAAACTTCATAGATCTGCACCCTTTAAGCTGAGACACTTTGCAAGACCCAGATCTATAAGAGCATCCTTTCTCTTTCCCTCTTGACTGAGAGAGGGGGCAAAAGGTAACTGGATGAACTAGTCTGCCTGGAAAACATCAAGTACATCAAGGGGAGGTGATCAGACAGAACTTAGCAGAACTAACTTAAACACACATTCCCAATTTAATATCCGCTTAGCTATACAGACACAATGATTTCTCCTACTGTCTAAAATACAAAGCCATTAGTTACAAAAGTTTGTCAACTGTTAAATATCATTACCTATTATTAGTGCTCCTTGTTGTAGTTCTGTAAATATAAAGCTATAACTGCCATAATCATATAATCACTCTTAGGTAAGAATTTTAGTAGGTGCTAAGGTTACAACTGTACCAAAGCTCTACACCAAAGGTCAGAGGACAGTGCTATACAAAATGACAAAGAGAAGGAGGAAAGTGCAATCTCAGGCCCTGAGCCCACAACTGCAAAAGACACTAGCTCAGAAAAAATTGGGAATCACACAGCTGAGATGTCCGAATTACTAGCATCTGAAGTAAAGAAACAACTACAGAAAGGTATAGAGGAACTCAGATCAGAAATAACCTCTGAAATAAAAAAAGAAATCTCTGAATTAATTGCATATGAAGTAAAGAATCAAATGCAGAAATATATAGAGGAAATCAGATCAGAAATAATATCTGGGGGTCAGAGAGGTAGCTCAGTCGAATAAGCACTTGCCTAGCATGCTCAAGGGCTTAAGTTCAATCCCCGGTTCTGAAAAAAAAAGAAGAGAGACAGAGAGAAAAAAAAGAAAGAATCTCTGAAGTAATAAAAGAAAAGATAACTATAATGAAAGAATTAATAACTGTTTCTCGAGAAGACACTGATTAAAAAAATAGAAGAGATTAGAAAAACAATGGAATCCTTCGATGATCAATATAGGAAAGAAACAGATCACATAAAACAGAATCAAAGAGATACAGGGGAACTGAAAATGTCAATTACAAGCTTGCAAAACCATTTAAGTGAAAGTGAAGATAGTGTTTCAGATCTTGAAGATGCCATTACAGCTAGTGAAAAGGTAAGAAAAGATCAACTCATACTGATCTGCCTGTTTACAACCTTCCAAGAGCTGGGGTTACAGGTGTGTGCCACAACGGCCAGTCTCAAATGCCATCTCAGCGAGCCCCAGGGTAGGGCCCAGCATGGGCCCCTGCACCGGCTTGCAGGCACTTTAATCCACTAAATATTTTGGCCAGCCCTGTGCTTCTAAAATTTATTTTGAGGCATGGTATCACTAAATTTCCCAGGCTGGACTCAAATTTTAATCTTCCTACCCCATCCTTCCTGAGTTCTGGGATTATAGATATGTACCTGTCTTAATAAAACATTAGTAAAATCATTCTTCTGCCAGGACAAAAAAGAGCAAAGCATCTTGTCTTTATGCAAATGTGGGGGAAGGGAAGGACCTGGATTGCCTGTAAGAGACCCATTGGAGTCTGTGCTGGAAGAGACACAGTGAAGGAGAGAGTTTAGGGTTGGAGGAGAAGGTAAGAGTGCAGAAATCCCAGGGCATTCTAGAAAGCATCCTAGTGGAGAAGCCAGTTATCTGGAAATGTCAGGAGGAGGGTGATGTTCAGTTCACCAGGAAGTGTGGCTGAGCACAGCTGTCAGAGCCCAAAGAGGATGCAACCAAGAAAAGGAATGGATTCTCAGGACCCCCAGATCCAGCCCACCTTTATATTTAAGTGGATGCCACTTGAAGATATA